CTGGGGCACCTGGGCAGATTTCAAGGGCCATGTGTCCGGTGAATGAACTTTGCTTCATTATCCACGAAATGCATATTAAAGTTGACACCCCTCAATATGCTAACAAGGGCTGTCATGGTCATGCTAGTGACATCATCCCATGAAACACCTTACCCCTCCCTGTACATGGGATACATAGGTCTGTGGGTCGACCTAGGGGACGGACCCAAGGAAAGTGGGTATAAATCAAAGGGGAGAAGAAAGGACGCTGTCTGCCTCTCTCTCTCTCTGCCCCTCTCCCTGCAGCAGTGAAACGCAGGAGACGGATGCCAGCAAAGAAGACGGCCATCTCCTGGAACCCTCACCAGTGGGATCAGCTCAGGAACCCAGACCGGTGATCTGTACTCCCCCATTCCCTCTATCTCCCTCTTTTCCTTTTTCTATTAAGAAATGCAAAGCATATTATATTGGTTGCCACAGCTTGCTCTGTACTTAGCCAATTATCATGTGTTCAGTTAGTGCATTGTAGGTAGTAAATAAATGTTTGAACTTGGAGACTTGTTGTCATCTCCAATTGGGGATTTGTGAATCTGAGTCACTTGTCCCCCTCGTCTGAGCGGGACGTGACATTAAATTGGAGTAGTCGGCAGGATCCCCTCTGGTGTTGGAAAGTCTTGTGAAATAGTGATTCTCTATCCAACAAACTTGGACAGGGAGAACTGGGAATTGGCCCCTCAGCTCTAAGCTGGGAAAGGGTCGGAGGGATACTGATTCTCTATCCGATAAGGACAGGGAGAATCGGGCAGTTACCTCTCAGTTCTAAGCCAGGAGAGGTTCGAGCAGTTGCAAGCCATGACTGGCCAGGAAATGTCGGTGCTTGACTGTTCCCCTATTTTTGAGAAGCTGAAGGAGTATAAGGCTTGTCCTCCTCCTTTAGTAGAGGTTTGGGCCCACGATAACTGGCAAAGTCCAGAAGCAGTGGCGAGTTATATCAGTGTGCTTGCAGGATTGAAAGGTTCGCGACCAGGCAAAGGAAAAGCTGTAGTGTGTGCTGTATTAGGGGCAGCACTGACTGCAGCCCAGAAAGATAAACATGTTAAGAAACAATTAGAAAGGGAAATGATCGAATCCCTACAAGATCTGGTAAAAGCTCTCCAGGATCAATTGGTTGAGGAATGTAAAGTTACTGAACAAAAAGCTAAACTCTGGCAAAAGGAAAATGAATTTTTGAAAAGTCAATTAGCTGATGAGCGTAACATCACTCAGTAACTTCACATGGCTCTAATAGATGCCTTGTACCAAGAAAAAATCTCACGGTCTGAAAAGGAGGGGAATGAACAAGAAACTTGCAACCAGACAGATCTTAGCTCTGTTCCGGATAGTGACCAGGGATTTACAAGTCTGGCAAAATCCGCAGCCAGACCCTTGTACCCAACAAAGGATTTAGAGATAAGCCAAGAGATTAGCCCCCCGAAAATGAGGGGGAAAATTTAAGACCATTAATTAAAACAGAGACCACTGAGGGTCAGGGTGGAAGAGCTCCGCAGGTCACCACTCGAACTACACCGTACCCAGCAACTGAGCTTGCAACAATTCAGGAGAAATACACCAGACAAGCTCAGGAAACTGAGACTGAATATGTGTGGAGGGTATCTTTGACTGGTGACAACCGAATTTTGTTATCAGAAGATGAGGCCCAAGGGTACTGGGGGCCAGGGTTTTTCTTAGTTACTGACGACCAGAGAGAACCGTGGTCGTTAACTCAATGAGCTGCTTATTGGGCTGGGAGTCTGGACACCTTGGAAAGGGGGGATCCGGTATGTATTGAGACCCCAACCATGAATCATTTGTCTGAAAGTCTGCAGAAGGCTGCTTGTCCCCAATTAATGCATGACAGGCGTTTGGTTCCGCAGCAGCCTTCCCCGATGCTATTAATTGCTAATCCCAATCAAACGTCTCCCCTGATTCGGGGCTTGCTGGACTCTTTGAAATCACATGCAGTACAATTACAAGATAGTTTGTGGATTGCATTAACCCCACAGAGGGAGAGATGGGAAAGGGGAGAGCCCATGACTTGGGGACAGATAGCTCAGGACTTAATAAATTATGGCCGGAGAATGGGCCTTACCAGGGGGACGTGCAAACCCAAGCCATTGGTACTCAGAGTGGAACAGCAGGAAAATCCATCTCCTTCCCCTCCACAGGTTTTAAGAGCAAAGAGAAACCTCTTGTGGACTAAGGGAACAAGACAGGGGATTCCCTGAGAGTTAATGGATGGTCTGCCTACTACAGTTTTAGAAAAGCTCATTCAGGCCTGGAAAGACAAAAGAAAGCTGCCCTCCCCCCGCATCTGAGCAGAACATTCAGGCGAAGGGAGGGACAGAACTGAAAACTAACAAGATGGTGGCAATTGCTTCTCAAACACCAACTGCCCCTGAAGAGGACTTGATTAATTTAGGGTCGGGAAACTGGACATGCCATCCCTAGTAAGTGAGCTGGGGGGTGGCAGGTGGGTCCACTTAAGGAGGCTCACAGAGAATACTAAAGAAGACTTGTTGATTACTTTTCCGCTCGGCCTCTTTAAAACTCCAGTTACATTTCTAGTAGATACGGGTGCTCAGATCTCAGCACTCCAAACTGAGGTTGCCAAGCGAAATGGCATAATTGCTGATAAAAAGCAAATTTGGGTTACAGATGTTTTCAGGGACTCTAAGCCACAGCTGACTGCTCGGATGAAATGCTGGTTACCCGGGACTGAAACTGCAACAGAAACTATTATGATTCTGGGTAATTTCCCCACAAATATCCTGGGACTTGACCTATTGAAGGGACAAGCCTGGGTGGATTCTAAAGGAAGGGAATGGAAATTTGGGTCTCAAACTGCCTCTATAAAACTTTTACAGCAGGCACCTGTGCTTACTCCTTCTAAAATTGTTAATGTGAAACCTTACGCTCTACAATTGGGTGCCAGGGATGGGATCACTCCAGTAATAGCAGAGCTGTGGGAACGAGTGATAATCATCCCAACTCACTCACCCTATAATTCCCCAGGGTGGCCAGTCCGTAAACCTAACGGAAAGTGGCGACTGACAATTGATTATCGGCGATTAAATGCCAACACAGATCCTCTAACAGCTGCAGTACCTAACATAGCTGAACTGATTGCAACCATACAGGAACAAGCCCACCAGATTTTAGCAACTATTGATGTAAAAGATATGTTCTTTATGGTCACCATACAGGAGGCAGACAGAGACCGCTTTGCTTTTACATGGGAAGGCGTGCAATTTACTTTTACACGTCTCCCCCAGGGATACTGCCATTCGCCGACCATTGCTCATTATGCACTAGCACAAGAACTTGCTCAAATCCCTCCAAGAGAAGGGGTCAAGATATATCAATATATTGACGATGTTCTGATTGGTGGCTCTGATTCTGCTGTAGTGGGATGGACCGAGAAAGAGATAATCTCCCACCTAGAAAATTTAGGGTTCCAAATTCCAGCCAAAAAGGTACAACTCGCATCCTCCGAGGTAAAGGTCCTGGGTATTTGGTGGCGGGGAGGAACAGTGTGTATTTCCCCGGAAACTTTAACTGCCCTGGAAGAAGTAAAGAGCTCTGCAAATAAGAAGGAGCTGCAACATGCCTTAGGTTTGCTGGTATTTTGGAGGAAACATATCCCTGATTTTTCCATCGTAGCTCGTCCTTTGTATGGACTCCAGTCCATGAAGAAGCCTTGAAGCTATTAATCTTTGAGGCCGGAGTATATCAGGCCTTAGGGCCCATACATCCAACATATGCATTCCAAATTGAATGGGGTTTTGCAATTCATGGACTATCCATACATATATGGCAACGTGGGCCAGAGGGTACAAGCTGCCCTATAGGGTTTTATTCGCACGGTTTCAAAGATGCAGAAAAACATTACTCAATCTGGGAGCAGGGTCTTTTTGTGGTTAGCCTAGCTTTGCAGGAAGCTGAAAAAAATAGAGGCATCAACCAATCATTCTATGAGGACACTTTAAGGTCCTGAAACCAGTATTGGCTGGAACTCCCCCTCCTGTGGGGGTTGCTCAGGGAGAGACGGTGAGGAAATGGTATGCATAATTAAATCATTATTGCCACATGCACCATATAGAGGAGGGGGCACCCAAAGTGCTCAAAATACAAGATCCACCCTCTGACTACTCTGAATACCTTCCTTCATCCATAAAACCTGCTCGCCCATTTGAAACCCACCTAAAAAATATATGGTTCACTGATGCATCTTCTAGAAGTGAGGGGAAGGTATGGAAGTACCGAGCAGTAGCACTGCATGTTGACTCGGGGGACTGAATCATAACAGAGGGTGAGGGAAGTGCTCAGGTGGGAGAGTTAACAGCGGTATGGAGAGTGATTGTTAAAGAAGCTGAAACTACAGAACCAGTATATATTTATACAGATTCCTATGCTGTGTATATTGAACTTGGAGACTTGTTGTCAGCTCCAATTGGGGATTTGTGAATCTGAGTCACTTGTCCCCCTCGTCTGAGCAGGATGTGACATTTCCTTAAGTACTTCTTTCATGTGTCATAAAGTCCATTTATTTTGCTTATTTGTTTGTTTGGTGTTTATTTGAAGTTTAATTCTTCAAATGCATCAGGCATTAATTTCATAGAATTGTTTGGGTTGGAATGGACCTTTAAAGATCAGTGTGTTCTAATTCCCTTATTTTGGTCAGAGACACCTTCAACCTGATTGGGTTGCTGAAAGCCCCATCCAATCTGGCCTTGAAAACTTCCAAGGAGGAGGCATCCACAGCTTCTTTGGACAACCTGCTCCAGTGTCTCACCACCCTCACGGTAAAGAATTTCTTCTTATATCCAGTCTGGTCCTACTTGCTTTCAGTTTAAAAGCATTACCTCTCATCCTATCAGTACACTCCATGATAAAAAGTCCTTTCTCATCTTTTCCCTTTAACTACTGGAAGGTCTCCCTTGAGTCTTGTCCCACTCTCGCCTTCTGTCGCCTCCAGTTGCCTCCCCTCCCATTTCCAGGGGAAAAAACCCAACTATTTATAAAGCTTAAGCCAGAAGAAGTAAGAGATATTATAAAACCCCAAAATTCACTAAAAGCTCCTCCAACACATTCTCTGAATAATACTAATGCTTTTGTGCTTTGAAGACATGACTGTCCTTGAGCTAGCTCAATAAAACTACTCAGTGTTGGTAGAATTATGTACATCCAATTAGAAAATATTCATTATCTCTTGAGAAAGGTTGAAAAAATTCAGATTTTTCATTTTAGTAATGAGAAATATTTTTACTGTACTTTTTGGCAGAAAAAATAAAAATAAAACCCACCTTTTCCTAATTTAAAAGTCTCAGAAGCTTCTGTTTTCAAAGATTTACAAATTTTACCAAATGCTTGCTCCAAAAGATGATAAATGTTCTTATCAGCATGTTCTTACTCCCAGGATTTTTTTGTGTGTGTATTCTCAGTCCCTGATACAAGTCTCCTTCAGCTAGACTGCCAGACTTTTGGGCCTTAGGAAATTGAATGTCATCAGTTTTCTCTGGCATGCTGAAAGCTTCATTAGACTGTCCTGGATAACACTAGGTTTTCCAGTTTCACAGGTGGTGCAAAGATTTGAGTTCATAGCCTGTACTTAAGAGCAAGGTCTCATAAGAGTCAGGACTGTTCTTTGATAAAACATGCTGGCATATCTAAGAAGACAAACAAATGTGTCTGCATAATAGCAATCCTAACTACCTGCCCTTTCAGATAAATTTGTCAGAACTAGGTGTTTTTTTAACTTTCTGAAACTATAAGCTATACTGGAAGCACGGGAAAAAAAAAAAAAAAAAAAAGATACATATTAGTATCTTTTATTGTGCCATATAAATATTAGTCTGTGTTTGTCACTGTTTAATAATTTTTCCAAGTTTTGTTAGTAGTGCTACTAAATAAGAACAATATTCAAATAAACAAACCCAGCAAGTTTCTATTCACATTTACTAAATATTCCATAGTTTTGAAAAAATTCCCTAATGCATTTAGAAACAAAACCAAGGTCAATAACCTGTGTATAGATAAGAAGCACAAAGAGAAAAGAATTAGTGTGAACAGAATCTAAAAGAGACAACCAGAATTTCACTGTGCATAAAATATGGATCTATTTTGCTCTGAACACATTTGAAATGTGAAGCGTGTGAGTAATAAAAATCCATTTTCCTATCTTCTACTAATTATTTTTTTCTCTTTATCATTGTTTCATATTAAGTTTTTAATCTTTCTAATATGTGTCCTGTTAATTTTGTGCCTTCTGAGTACTTTAATAAAGATGCTTTGTGGCATTACATCAAATGCACTGGGAAAATTAAACTATTTTGGACAAATACAGTTGCCACTTTCAATCAGGACTGTAAACCATTTAAAAAAATGTTAAAAAGACATGTCTCTTGGTCTTGTGTATAAGCAGGTTAAGTGAAACACATTCTGAACTGAAACTTAAATCAGTGTACTATCTGAATTAGACAGAGTTAATTTTCATTATATTAGTCCGTACAGTGCTATGTTTGGATCTGTGATGAAAACAGTATTGATAACACACTAATATTTCAGCTGAACCGTGTTTGCACAGCACTGAGTTCTCAATTTCTCACAATGCCCCCCAGCAAGTAGGCTGGGGGTGGGCAAAAGGTTGTGAGACGCAGATCTGGAACAGCTGAACCAAATGAATATTCCATGCCATAACATCATGCACAGCAATAAAAACTGAGGGGAAGTTATTCCAAAGTAGCTTTGTGCACAGACTGTGTGGGCATCAGTCTGCTGGTGCAGTGTGATGAGTGATTGCCTCTGCATCACTCACTTGGTTTGGGGTTATTTTCCCCTTTTTTCTTCACTTACTAATCTCTCTTTATCCTAATCCATGTTTTTTTTCTTGCTCATCTCTCCAATTTTTTCCCCCCACCCTGATGGGAGAAGGCAGGAAGTGACAGGATGGGCGCTTATCTGCTAGTTGGAGTCAACCTACCACAACTGTAACTTACGTAAGTTGTTAAGGGTGACTCTTCTGTGGTGACAGTGTCTTAAGTTCAGCATATGTTTATGTAATAGCATTGGACTATGAACATAAGCCACGTGAAATATTGATGAAGATTAATATTGCACCATTTTTCTAACATGCTTCAAACAGACCTATGTTGTCACTCACTTTGATGCTCAGTTGATACCTGTTTGTGGCTAAAAGTTCAAAGGAGTATGTTAGTCTCAGTTAAAG